AAAATCTGGGATCTTTCTCTGCTATATGAAAAAAAATGTACCACACCCATGAACAGAATCTTGCTCATCACGACAGCATTCACGTGTTTCTGAAGCAGTGCTTCAAGTTCTCCTCACTTTCATGATTTATTGTTTTAGGAGCCCATTGAACATATGTGCAAAGCTAATGCAATTGTTTGCATTCTTAGGCTTTGGCGCATCTTTTTGTAAAATTGTATGAGCTAAACACAGTTAATTAGGACAATACAGTTCTGGGTGTAGTTTGTAAACTGTGTCACAAGGCACAACTAAAGGTCAGAAAGTCTGTTAATGCCCCTCATTGCTGTGAGGTTCATTTTGTTATGCATTTAACAATTTCTGACGATTCATGCCAACCTTGAAGTGATCATGAGTCGTACAGTATAAACAAATTTAGATTGATTCTGGCTTCCAAGGGCTAAAACAAATGACATTGTTACCCTGCAGGAGGTAAGACAACTTGTCGAAACATTTGATATGACACCTCATGTTCAAAGAATTTTCATATTTTCAAGATTCCATTTTTACGGGTTAGTTTGGTTCAGCTGCACTAATAGGAACTGGTTCACAGCAGTGCACGAGAACTTCAGAACTTGTGCAGCCTGAGTTCAGCAGTGCGACATCACAAGTGAATGACAAGGTGGAATTCTCCTTTATTTTCGCTTAGTTTAATGAGGTGCAAACATGTTGGCAAAGCACGCCGCGTGTGTAAGGTGTGTACGGCACCTACGTCTAATACTATGTTGTTTGTTAAACTGGGCGTGCAGCGACTCCACCAAACAAACGCCGTCAGAAATGGAGGTACAGGAAAGTCATAAACTAGTAGTGTTACTGCTGTACCTCTCCTGAAATTTTTGAAACGAATAGCACGGTTTAGAGTACGCCAATTGCTGCACCACTGAAACGAATTGTTAGGTGCAGCACCTCGTAAAATGGATCATATGGTGCAGGCGAATCGAACAAACCCTTAAGCACATGAGCGTCTTAGCATTTCACCCCCATCGAATTATGGCCACTGTGGCTGGGATCAAACGTGCGTTGTTGAGTCCAGCAGTGCCACACAATATAACTAATAGTGTTTCAATTTCAATGTTATTGGAGTGTAGATTCTATGTCACGGTAGACAGCCAAAGCTTGTGGCTAATATAAAGCACCCTTCCACGATATGCGTGGTAAAACATTGACAAAAACATTCACAAGCATTGCATGTGTGAGGTTCGAGATGACCTGTTGTAGTGGATGTTCAGATGTTTCAACGTGCTTGCGGAGTAGAGATTCGGAGGTAGTCTTCCTGTCGTTGCATGGCAGTCTGGAAAAACAAGTGACATCGTCAGATATTCATAAGCATATTCAATGCTTGAAAGTTTCCAAAGTAAACAAATAAACTCAGTTTACTAGTAAACAGCAGTATTTTAAACATATATGTAATGGCACCTCATAACACATGTATTACTCGGGGCTGCTTATTCACAAGGCATGTCATGAAGCAGGTTTTTTTCTCCATTGTACACAGCTGCTTCCATGTCAGGGAGGCCAGGAGGCTGTGGCAAAAAAAGAAGTATATCTGATTTAGGTGACACTTTTTTTTAACACTATAGCGAAACCACACCCACAACTATGTGATGTTTCTCAAGTGCGACAGCGGTGAACTAGTGACTCGTAGGTTTTTTGTACTAATATATAGGCTAGCTACGAAGACACATGCCAGGCGACAGTGATGTATTTGCCATCTTTTATCGACACGACCTTGTTTGTGTTACCTGGCGGTACAATATCAGCATTACCTATTGAGTCAGCGATTCGTTCCCGTGAAGCCACGCCGCAAATAACGCAGGTTTTTCTGGTGACAGATGAACGCGTTGAAAGATTTTAAAATTTATTATTGCAATGCGCTACCACTGTATGACGCCTACGCAGTCATTGGCAGAAAAACAAACAAAATACATATGTTGAAATGAACCAACTAGTCCAGCAAGCAACCGTCCCAAAAAAAACTGAAGTGGTTTCTACTCACCAGCCCTCCACTCTCGGGCTTGCAACGGGTGTTTATCTGATGAAAGTTTCAATGATCGCTTCGTTTCCCGGAAGTCACTTGAATTCCCTTCGCAAAAGCATTTGAACGAATCAAAATTAACAGAATGGAAGAGAGTTTGTCGGCCGGCAGTGGCTCGAAATATTTTCAGTGAAACGAAACAGTGTGAGACACATCTAAACGTACCGCGAGCCGTTACCTGCCGTTACTACCGTTGGCCTACAGTGTCTAGAAATATACTGTAGTTGGCCGCCGTATATCTTGAAAATGAGGATAATGATGTCAATAGGTTGCTGCTGACTACGAGTCAGCTGGAGCAAGAACTATTACAAAAAATTGATAACGCAGCACATGTTTAAAAAAAAACTCTTGCTATAAGAACAAATTCTTTTTTATGTGTAGTGGTGTGAAAAGATGTATTATTCGATTATTTCAGAATTGAAGCTTGGCCCCGACGAAGGTGCCCCTACAACAAAGAGTAATAGCGCAATGGCGGTGCCCAAGCGCTATCAAACGGAGGGGTCAGTAGACGTACTTCGGGTGTCTAAAGCCGAAACGCACCGCGGTTGATTTTTTCGCACCGCACAGGTGCTCACTTGAACTTGAGAGTTTTCGGGGACTGACACCGCTGGAAGGAAAGAGAAAGTGACAGACAAAGCCCCCCGCCCCCCCAATAAACTGCTTTGCATCGGAAAAAACCTCGGCGGCTGGCTTGTGGCATGCTGTTACTTGTCAGCCACACCCTTAAACACGGTCCACGCAGCCGCTGCGTCGAGTCTGCCCGCCATGCGAACCAAACACAAGCAAAACAACTAGAAAGGGGCGAAGGATGTAGTCCGATTTCAGTTAATGCGCACGCTGCGAATATTTCTTGTTCAACAACGCACAAGGGAAGTTTTTCTTCGATCCTACATTGCAGGTCAATATTCAGTGCCTATATACACAATATGGCTGGTAAATGGTTTGGCAGCGTGTTGTCTCTCGCTGGCGAGCTCGCGCTTCCATAGTCGACATGTGCCGTTCGCTCTCTCTCGACACGCGGCGAACGCTGAGTTGTCCGCTACAGTGAGTCACCTGTCTCTCGGCGATAGGATGCAGTTTCTCTCTTGCGCTCAAGCAAATCTAACGTCCCGACAGCAGCAGCACACAGTGCCGATAGACCATGTGGGACACTCGGTTACTTGCCCCTAAAGAGCCTTGCGTTAGAATCGATACAAGTAGCTACAAGTCCAGTACTGTTTCTGTGTGTTTTTCAGCTTGTTTTGTCTTATTGCGCTTTTAAACTTACTCATGACTACAGTCAAAAGGGGGAAAATTGTTGAAAACAAACTAAAAGAAAGTATAGAAGTGACGCGGGTTAATGTTTAAAAGACAATACCAAATGGGAGCAGCTCAAAAAGTAATGGTGTTCTTTTACAGAAAATGAAAATAAACCGATGACAACGAGAAAACAAAAACCTAGTGCATGACATGTTCACCTGCACATGAGCTGATACATAGCACCTTATTTCAAAATTTCACGGTATTTTTCGCACGGTCATGTGCAACAGCAAGAAACAAAACAAGATTTGAAGGAAAAGGCACAATATATATAAAGAAAACACACTCCTGGAATGTGTGACACTTTGCTTACTATCAGGATCGGGTGTTTCGTGTAGAACAGAACAAAAAAGTTCAGTTTCTCGCCGAGACGCCAGATCCTGTAATAACGAATATGTCACACCTTGTCAAAGAGTGTTTTTCATATTGTGCACACTTTGGCTTTGATAACTACTTTTCCAATACGTGTTTGGTACCATAAGCACGCGTTTGGTACCATAAGCACGCACCACTATAATTATACCATGAAAAGTAGAGGTGCTGACCATGAGCATTGTCTTTAGGAGTGAAGCTCCTCTTAGTCTAACCTTGTCCCACCTTAGGCGTAACCATCAGTATCTACGAACAGTATAATAGATGGCGCTGCCTCATAAAAGTACACAAACTGCAGCTAAGTGAGGATATTGCGGGGGATTGGGCTGAGCCTAGATGCGCGAGAAACGAGTGCCTCCTGGGTCGTCGCAGTGTGTGTCGGATGGTTGCTGTGAAGTGGACGAAGCGGAGGAGCAGGCGTGGAGGGCTGTGGCGTCTACAGACAGACAGACAGACAGACAGACAGACAGACAGACAGACAGACAGACAGACAGACAGACAGACAGACAGACAGACAGACAGACAGACAGACAGACGGAAGGACTGAAGGACATACATACATACAGACAGACAGACGGACAGACAGACGGACGGACGGCCGGACGGACGGACGGACCGACAGACAGACAGACAGACAGACAGACAGACGGGCGAACAAACAAACAAACAAACAAACAAACAAACAAACAGATAGACACACAGAGAGACAAACAGAGAAACAAATAGATAGGAAGACATGCAGGAAAACAGACAGACATACAAACAGAGAAACAAACAGATAGGAAGACGTGCAGGAAAACAAACCGACGGCCGGCCGCACGCACGGACGGATGAACACTCGGATGGACGCATGGATGAACACATAGACGGACGCACAGCCAGCCGGTTGGACGGATGCACGGATGGACGCACAGACAGACGGATAGGCGAACAGACGAAGACTTCATCCCACTCATCAATCATTCCGTGGATATGCTGTGATTTTAGTTTTTTTTGCTTCTACATTATTGATGGCACCTCAAAAGCGTCTCTTTACTGAATATTATGTTTAATATAGTAAGGCTTTGTGAGTGAGGCTCTGCGACATGTCATTAAGTATAGTTAAGTTCCATGTATTTTAGGTATTGAGGGAACACTTGAAAAAACGACGACCCATTTCATGCATACCTAAGGGGAACGTAATTGAACGAATCGCAATGTAGGGTACAAGTGTCATAGTTAGCAACAAAGAAGTGTGTGTTCGCCAGCGGTTAGCCACCTGAATAAGGCCGCTCATGAATGCCATCGTGGTGGCTACACCGTTTCTCGATTGTTCAGTAGATAGCTGTACTCCATCGTCAGCAAGGGCCGTCGCGTTGTCGGCGATGACGCTGTATTTCTGGACCACCACACCAGTCATGAGTGCTGTCACAGGAAAGGCGCCTGCAAAAGAATGATCGAGGAGTGACGGTTCATTCTTCTCAGTCCAGTCCCAGTGTTTCTTCAGTTGTTCTCTTCAGACAAGCATCAGGAGGCCCGAAATAAACATTTGAGTATAGTTTTTTCATTTGAGACGATTTATTTTTGCACTATCATTTTCTTTCACTAGCTATTGCGTCAAAAAAAAACTAAATAAGTGCCAGCTATCCTAATACTAGATTGACTTTTGTGACTGTCCGATCCCCTAACACCACACACCGCAAGCGCTAACAAGCACTGTGTAGGCTGTATGTATGCTCAAGGAAAACACAAACATACTGACATGAACCAGGAGAAGCGAATTCGATCGACACTTGTTAATGTTCCAATAAAAGTTTTTAAATCAAAGCAAGAACAGTGCTTACTTCAAGAAGAAAAAAGTACGAGATAGGCCCTAACAGCTGCTTCATTCCGACGGATACCTCAGTATAAGCATCGCGTTCATATGCGTGTTCGCGGTATAGTGCTACGAGAAGACGATGAGCGTAGAAGTGCGCGCGTAGAAGAGCAGAAAGATACAACAAGCACACATACACAATTTTAGTATCTACCAAGTGGCCCACCAACAATCAGATGAGATGCTAGTTCTTTTTTTAATAGAAACAAGGCAAGTGTATATCTATCGTTAACGAAGCAAACACATAATTCAATGTATGGTAGCTGAATTTTCCTCTTAACAGTTTAAGTTCAGAAGGGTTCATCAATGTTCAGACGGCTCCAACCTAAAAGAAACGTCCATTAAAACAAAAAAAAATTGATTGAAGTTCATGGCTGGGAGACTCGAGAGGCACAATACTGCACCTATACCCAGCCTTATTCTCAGGCTACTCATATAGAACGTTCAACGTTAACAAGAATACTATCAGTACATGATGGAGCATGAATGATTGATCATTGATATGTGTGGTTTAACGTACTAAAACCACCTTATGATTATGAAAGACGCAGTAGTGGAGGACTACGGAAATTTCGAACATCTAGGGCATAGGCGTATCAGCCGGGAAAGCAAAAAGGGCGCGAGCCCCCCCCCCCCCCTTTCGACTGTAGTGCACGCTTGGCTGCACGCTGGCGAAACCAACAAGTAAGGCAAAAGTTTCCGTCACAACAGTAATAACTCGATTGTGTTTTAAGGTAAAATGAGTATGTTATAAGGCAATGTTACAACATAGTGAAACTTTGCGAACATTTCCGCTGTGATGATTTTTCTTGTAGGTTCTTTCTGAGGCGAGTCACCTATGCGACGTTTTCACGTTTTGTGCTGTAGTATTGCAGAGCAGGCTAGCGCCAAACAGGGACCCTATAATATTACATCCCTTGTTCATGCTTTTATTTGGCTGACTTGTTGATGCACTTACGGAAGGGAACGAGCAAACTTTTTAAAATCCGGTAAAAGCATTAGCTGCTTCCGGAAATTATTTTTCTTTGAAAAAGATATATCATCACCGGTGCTATGTCGAAGCTTTTGCGAGCCGATGAGTATGACAAATCGTTTTTATGTTTAAGATTTTCCCCACTGTAATGCCTAAAAATATTTATAGTGTCTGATAACCCTGATCAGCTTTACTTATGGTAACTTGGAAGTTGGAGCTATAGCGGCAGTAAAAAAAGGAAAACGCGCCTTCACAGAGGTAATTGAATATTTTTTTTACATTGATAAATGAAGGTTCGCAAAATATACGTTTTGGTGTCTGGCAGCTATAGTCTCATTTATATAGATCCTTCCCGATGACTAACATCCATGATAAATTTATTAGACAAACTATTGTGGTATCTGTACATGTTAACCGCCAAAACATAATCAGAGAGAGAGAAGGGCGTGACAACAAGGTCAGCGCGTCGCATGTTGGACGCGGAAATTGGGCTAATGGTGCCATTCTTCGGCCTTTTAAAGAGTTATTAAACTTAGTGATATCTAAGAAAGCGCGTCCTGTCACCTCTATGTGTGCGAATTCATATCAAAGTACAAGCGCGTCAATGAAGTTCTCTTCTGAATATATATATATATATATATATATATATATATATATATATATATATATATATATATATTGTTACGAGTAACTTCTCTATAAGCTATTTACAACGCGCAGAACTCGACGAGCCGTATTCCAGCATCGAAACGTAAACTTACTTCGTCCTCCTCTTTCATGCAGCCGTGTTTAGCGGCTGTTATGTATTCTACCCCCGGTGGTAGAAGCACCATCGCGGTGCTAAATGTACGCAGATGATGTCGGAGGGGGTAATAGGGCTTGAGCCGAGCCACGTGAACGGCGTCGCTCGGGGCTGACGATGACTTTGTTGGATCGGTTGGAACAATCTCGTACGTGACGTCTCACTTGGCGAACGATACGGAATGGTCCAGTGTAGGGTGACATCACTTTTTCAGACAGTCCCACACGCCGAGTGGGTGACCAGAGGAGCATGAGAGAACCCGGGGAAAGTGCACGTCCCTATGAAGAGAATTGTAGAGCAGTTGTTGGTGCGCCTGTGAAGCCTGTAGACGGTTACGGGCGACTTGACGCTCGTGGTCGGCGCGGGCAATGGCTTCCCCGGCATATTCAGTGACCGCAGGTTGCAGAGTGTCTAAGGGTAGAGTTTGGTCCCGGCCATATATGAGATACAAGGGTGAATAGCCGGCAGTGTTGTGAAGACATGAATTGTAGGCGAACGTCACATACGGCAAATGAATGTCCCAATCCTGGTGGTCTCGTGCAACGTATTTGGCAAGCATATTGGTTAAGGTCCTGTTGAAGCGCTCCGTGAGGCCATTTGACTGGGGATGGTACGATGTAGTAAATTTGTGCTTGGTATGGCAAGACCTCAGGATTTCATGAACGACAGCTGATAAGAACGTGTGGCCACGGTCGGTGAGAAGGTGGCGGGGAGCACCATGCACTAATATTATGTCGTACAGCAGAAAGTCCGCAACGTCGGTAGCGCAACTGGTCGGGTGTGCTCGTGTGATTGCGTACCGCGTCGCGTTGTTTGTGACAACAGCAATCCATTTGTTTCCGGCTGTGGAGAGTGGAAAAGGGCCCCACAGGTCGAGACCAACTCGAAAGAAAGGCTCAGTGGGAACGTCGATCGGCTGAAGGTAGCCGGCCGGGAGGGCAGACGGCGTTTTGTGATGCTGACAGGGCTCACAACCGACGACATAGCGTCGAACACAGCAGGCAAGTCTAAGCCGAAAAAAACCGACGTCGTACTTGATCGTATGTGAGAGAAACGCCCAAATGGCCTGTCATGGGAGCGTCATGAAGTTGATGCAGGACAGTGAAACACAGGTGCACTGAGATGACAGGAAGTAAGTCTGATTCGAAAGAATCAAGGTTATAGTGATATAGAATCCCCTCTTTCACAAAAACTTTCGTAGTGACTGGTCGCGAAGCGTTGACTCAAGTTTATCAATGATGGCTCGTAAAAGAGCATCCCGACGTTGCTCTTCGCCAATGTTTCACAGCTTCGACACGGAAAAAAACGTCCGTGATGGCGTCAGTATCGGTTGCTTCGTCAACAGGGTAGCGGCATAAACAATCCGCATCCTGATGCAATTGCCTTGTTTCATACATTACAGAGAACGTGTACTCTTGAAGGCGTAGGGCCCAACGAGTGAGACGTCCTGTGGGGTCCTTCAGGGAGGGTAGCCAGCAGAGCGCGGGATGATCCGTGACAACCTGGAATGAGTGCTCGTACAGGTATAGACGAAACTTGCTGACTGACCATACAAGGGCGAGGCACTCGTGCTCCGTGATGGAATAGTTGTGCTCAGCTGGAGATAGCCGGCGACTTGCGTAGGCTATACCATGGTCATGTCCCCGTTGTTGCTGCAATAGCACAGCTCCTATGCCGTGTCCACTGGCGTCTGTATGAACGTCAGTTGGGGCTAATGGATCAAAGTGAGCCAAGATTGGTGGCGTTGTAAGCAGTGTCATAAGTTGGGAAAACGATGACGATAAACGAAGCGTCTTTCTTCAAGAGGTCTGTGAGGGGGCGTGTAATGGTCGCAAAGTCCTTAACAAAGCGTCTGAAATATGAGCACAACCCCACAAATCTGCGCAAATCCTTTGTGGTTCTCGGAACGGGAAAGTTCGTCACTGCGTGAATTTTCTCTGGGTTTGGACGCACGCCTTGGGCATCGACAAGGTGACCGAGCATGGAGGTTTGACGACGATTGAAGTGGCACTTGGAGGCGTTAAGCTGGAGTCCGGCTCAACGAAAAACGTCCAAAATAGCTGATAAACGATCGAGATGCGAGTCGAATGTGGGCGAAAAGACAATAACATCGTCAAGGTAAATCAAGCAGGTGGACCATTACAAACCTTGGAACAAAGAGTCCATCATTCTTTCAAAGGTGGCTGGCGCGTTGCAGAGACCAAAGGGCAGTACCTTAAACTCATAGCGGCCATCAGGAGTGATGAATGCTGTCTTCTCGCGGTCCGTCTCGTCGACGGCTATCTGCCAGTAGCCTGACCGAAGGTCAATAGTTGAAAAATAAGTAGCACCGTAGTCGAGGGCGCCGTTGATGCGAGGTAAAGGATAAACGTCCTTTTGTAATTTTGTTGAGGTGATGGTAATCGACACAAAAGTGACATGTTCCATTCTTCTTGCCCGGGGACTGCATGAAATCTTGATAATGTTTTTTGCAAGCGTTTTGCCGACTTTACGTTGTATTATTGCAAGCTCCGACGCAGAGACACGGTAGGAGCGTCGGTGAATGAGAGTTGCATGACCAGTATTTATACGAAGGGTGACAATAGTCGTTTGGCCTAAAGAGTTGCTGGCAAAGTTGAAAATGCTACGATAGCCCTCAAGAGCGTGGCAAAGCGCTGCAGCTTGCTCAGACGTGAGGTTCGATGACACGATTCGCTCGATGTCGGTGCCCCAAGAACCTGATGGAGTGGAGCCACTGACTGAGCTGCAGCAATCGTCAACTCTGAAGGGCTCGACATGGTCATCTTGGAGAG